CTGTTCCATCAGTTAGTAGACCTGTGGTTCAGCCAAAAATCAGTTTCATAAGAAAAAAAAAAAAAAAGTGGGATCAGTGAGTTGATCAGACTTACCTGAATATTCAGTAAATCTTACACAAGAAAGGAAGTGGGGAATGTGGGTGATGAGGAGAGCTGCTGCTTATGGTGGCACTGTCTTCTTAAATCATCTTGATGAGATTTGAAGCAGTACAGTGATAATTAGACTGTGATCACTTTAAGCTAGAATAAGACAGAACTACTACTAGAAGATGCAATCCTTCCTTCTCCTACCTATATGTTTCTTATTTTGTCAGTGTAAACATTTGCATTGCTGTGTGGTGAATTATGTGCTGAATTATATTCAGAATTTAATTAGATTGAAATTAACCTGGCAAGGAACAGACTATTTTGAATTCAGATATATTTCATGTCCCAGTTCAGCAGGCAACCTCACTTTGTTTGTTTTACCTCAGGGGAGTGGATAACACAAGAACAGGAGCACAAAAATAGGTAAGAAGAAGTCAGGCTCTTTTTAAAAAAAAAAAAAAATTATTTTTAAATATAATAATTTTTTCATTTTAATTTTTAATCTTAATTTTTTTATGTGATTGCCACAGTATTTGTTTATGCCAACTTAAAGTATAGCTTAGGCTACTACTATTAATACAAGTTTTCTTGATTGTTTCCATGATGCAAGAGAGCACTCAGCCTGTCTCTGTATGTAACCCCATATATAGGATGGATAGGTCCATAGATAGGGCTAGTGTATTCCTGCCACTGCATATGAACCCTTAATGATGGTGGCTCACTTGTCACCTTTAGCTCCAGTATAGTACTTCGCATCTGTTCCCATCCTGTTTTCATCTACTAGATGCAGATAATCAGTGCATAATGGATCAGAGTCCAGATGGATCTGACAGATGGGAACCTGGAACAGGATTGTTCCAGGCAAAATCACAGCTGTGATTTTGTTCTAAACTGCAGGCACCTTGGTGGAGAAGTTTCCAAGATTCTTACTGAATGCATAAGATTTAACAGGTCTGCTGGTGGTGCTTGGTCATGTAATACTGAGGTACAGACCAAGCATTCCTCTCGGTCTCTTTATGGACTCACAGGACTGCCGCCCTTGTAAAAATAGGTAAAGCATAATCCAGAGTGTTCAGTGTATCCATTATGCAAGGGATCACAGTCTGCCAACCAAACTACAAGAGATATACTCACCATAAATGTACTTGAATATTTTGAGAGAGTTTTTGTTGTTTGGGTCTTTTTCTCACATAAATTCAGGAACTGTAGAGGTCATTTTGTTCACAGGGTGAGTATTCTAACAGGTTGCAGTATATCCACTGTTGCACTGAATGAGAAAAAAAGCAAGTGTTAGTAGAGGGAATATGCACCAGTAGGTAGGTTTGTTCCAAACATTTGTACAAAAGCATATAACACCCTGGAGTGACCAGTAAGGAAATAAACATCCATCACTGCAAGGAGGCTCTTTCAAAGTGACAAATTCATATCTTAAAGCTAAGAAGTACAGACTCTTGATGTATTGAAATACATTCCTGATACTACAGTTAAGTGAGGAAACATACTCCTAGCAAAGCATTTCATTTGCTAGTTTAATGTAGGATAAATGTCAGAGAGCAGTGAAGGAAAAAATCCCACCTCTTGTGGCTGATGGAATAAAGTTTTGAATTGTGTCTGAAAACTGTGAGAGGATATCAAAAGATCCTGGCTGTAGCTTGAATTCACATGCTGGAAGTTATACCAGTGCATCTGATGGAATATGATTCTATTTTCTAGTTCTTTTTCTGTGGGAATACATTTTCTTCTAGCCTACCTATAGGAGTTTTCAACTTGTTCTTTCTTCTGCATCTGCTTCTGCAGATGAATACCTTACTTCCATGCCACCCGGAGCATACTGTACCCTAATACTGTGAATGAAGAAGGAATGCAATTACCCATCTTGAAAACAGAAGGAAATACATTTTAAAAAAAAATTGGTCATACAGGGTTTTAAAAAAGTTTCTCCAGTAGTTTTTCAAACTTAAGGGCCTGATTATGGACGTACCAGCCCTGTCTGAAAAGGTGATTTTCTGGGACACTCAGTTGAAGAAGAGGTGCTTTTTGAGGAAAGTAGTAATGAATAGCACATATTCACCCTGAATCAGGAACATACTATACAATATATATAGTTATTGTTGTATGTGAGACTATGCAAATGCATAGGATGGTGACTCCTTCATGACAGCAAATATTTCTGTCTCTAAATGCCAACCAAGAATATAAAGTTCTGACAATTTCCTGAGAACCTTCACACTGCAAAAGAAGATATATGGAGAATGTATGGCAAAGCTAGCAATGAGATCTGCTGAGTTATTGCTTCTCCCAGCCAACTCCAGAAGATAAAATTGCTAAGCAACTATTATTGCATTATAAGGAGAAACTATTGAAGAGGAGGAAGCCACAATGTGATCGCCCTTTTTCCTGGGAGGTGCTGTCACAACCATTATGGATTTCCTGGATTACTCTGTAGGTGAGCCTAGTTAATTAGTTACCTCCTCAAATAACTGTAGTAAGAAGGGCTACTATAGTATATAGCTTATGCCACTTTCTTAGTCTTCAGTGTCGGTTCAAAAATGGGAATAATCTGACAAATGAGAAAAGTAACAAATTTACTGAAAATTACATCTCTTCCACCTTTATATCCTAGCTTCAGTCTCCTGAAGGCCTTTGTGACTGATGTGACATGATCAGTGTAAAGCATGCTGAGTTGTCCTACAGATTAGTAATTAAATAGCCTAGATATTGGGTGCATGAAGCATTAGTCTGAATCGAATTTTTATATGCTGGGTGCCTCTTTTCCCCTTGATCTGAGGTGAATTTTCACTGTAGCACTGTAGAACTTGAGCATGTTCAAAGGTTTATGAAGATGCCTTTCAATGAGCTGCTAATAATGAAAAGTTGAGAAAAAACAGTTGAAAATGAAAATCAACTGGGAAAAGTTGAATGGAATTCAGCTGGAGAAAAATATCCCTTAAATCTCTGGGCAGGGTAAGTGAAATTAATAACAAGGGTGGTTTCCAAGTATTTTAATATCTGTGTTGAAACACTTAGAGAGGTCATAAAAGTCATGTAAATTAGGGTGCGAAACAATGAGACTGAAGCAATAACCACTTTTAAATGCCATGAAATGAGCTTTGAATCTGCCTGATTGTTTCCTCCAGCAACTGCAGTGGGTCGTTTCCTGTCAAAAATGCAATAACTGATGTTTGAGCATATACTTCATGAATTGTGGTCTTCATGACATGAATGAAAGATTTTTAATATGAATAACTTGAAAGATAAAATTGAATGGAAGTTATGGATACTTTTTCCTAAAAGAAAGACATTAAAGAAGCCCTGCAGTGATTCATACTAATATGCCAGTTAACTAACCATTTGCTAGGTGTGTACTTACTCAAATATTTTTACAGGACATTTTGAAACACCTGCAACAATCTTGATTAGACTTACATTATGTTTCTAGTTTCAAGTCAAATGTCTCAGCTGATGTGCAATCTGGATAATGAAAAAATGAAGTGACTGCTTCACAGCATGTACAATGGATGGTTTTTCATGACATTGAAAGCTGCTGCTGTCTGGGTTTTGGTGCAGGCAGACCTGGAGTGTTTTGATATCTGGAGGTTTATACTGTGTGCTGTTTCTTTGTTTTACAATTTTAAGTCTTTCCATACAGAAGTATGGACAGTGGCTATTAGAATATTTTGCTGTGCTACTGGTACTGTTGAAGTTCAATTTATAATTTTTGTAGCTAAGAATGTCAAACAAATGTTATTGGGCTGGTAAAAATCTCATCATAGTTTGTGAGACGTTCAGCAGATAGTTTTACAGGGCCCTTGTAATGGATATATAACAATACAAATCAACACTAATGATAATCCTTATGGTGTTTTATATATACCTGCTCCAAACTTACATCCTTGGCTAGCTCTGGGACTAGATACACTTAGCAATAAAAGTTTAGGTACATTTATTTAATAGCAGGTTATAGCATGGAGCTTGAATTGGTCTGCATGGGATGGGGGTCATGCCTCTGGATTGCTGCAGGTGTCATCCTTAAAGTACTCCCCTGACAAACCACTTCTATTCATTAGTTTCTCCTTCCTTAACTTTTCCTGGTTTAAACTCTTGTCAGCACATTGCTTCTCATATGCTCACCGTTCTAGAAGAGAAATTATGTGTTATTGTGCATAAGGATATAATAACAAGGATATTAATGTGCACAAATGGCATGAACATACATCTAAGAAGGATGCAATATGGTGCAGTTTTTCAAAATTAAACCTGCTGGCAGTGAACTCTCTCACGTGCATGAGGTCAGTCCAGGTGTGGACACTTAGAAACCAGAATATTCAGCATGGGTACCTGGAATTTCTTTTTTTTGGTGCAGCAGTATGTATGACACCTTCAAGATAGCTGTCTTAATCCTAAGGCGTAATAGTTCATGGAGAAATATGTAAAAGAGGGTACACAATTGTGCAATTCTTTATAACAGCAATTTGAGGTATTCATATCACATAATACGAGACCCCATCAGAATTTTCCCCCAGTTTGAGGAGGTTTAAGTTCCCACTTTCACTTTTTACTGTGGTGCTGTATCAAAGGTAGATTAAAATGCAAATTTGCTTTAAATTCATGGTGTACTGTATAAGAATGAGGCTGTGTCCTTTGAACTAGATGTGAGCTCTCTTGTTAAAATCCAAGAGATAACAGCAGTGCTTTTTTAGGCAAATTTTGCATATTTGTGCACATTTGGTAAAAGTGGTCACTCTGTGAAATATAGTATTAAAACAGTCTGGTGCATCTGCAAACATAAATTTCACTGCAGTAATTGCAGAAATGTTAATTTAAAAAAAAATCACAGAATACAAAAGTCTGAGGTTGCTTTTACTATGTCATTTATTAGAAAGTATTTATTTCACACATACAATTGTGATAAATGTTTTACCATCAACTTGTGACAGCATTTTATTTTACTTGCTCATAAAAAACTCAGAGTGAGTTTTCTTTTTAATGAAGGTATTGACTTTTACAAGAAAAAGATTGCTTTTGCAGTGGGAAGCTGAAGAGGTTATAGTTTACTTTGAATATTTGTTTGCTAGTTTCTATTACTGATAATTTGCATCAAACATGGAGTTCTTATACATTCTTATAAAAATAAGATAACATTTTCACTTTAAACTCAGGATCCTTTAAATATCAGAAACAAGAAAAAGAGATAATTGACAAAGGAGACTGACTGTTTACAGGGGCATTTACTATAGATTCAGCAGGCAGCTGACAGCCAAGCAGCTACTGGGGTAAAATCCACACGGTCTTAACAATCCTGAAATTTGCTGATTTCAGTGACAGATTTGGAACTGCCTTATGGTAAAATCTGAATACTCTGCATTGCTTGATTATTCAGGTACTGGTATACTATGTGTCTTTGGTATTTTGTGTATTCTGTATAGTAGCGGGTTTTTTTGACTTCTAAAAAATCTGTCCAGGAAAAAAAGAAGAATTCACCAAGCAGCTAACTCATTAGACTAGTGTTAGATGGCTAATTGTTATTTATGGGGGCTCTTACATTTTTGGCTCTCTCCAGCAAAATAAAAGGACAAAAAATGAAATGTGAATGTAGAGTAACAAAAATAGCACATGGGATTAAAAGAGACATGAGAGACAGAAAAGGAGAAGCATTCATGGTCCACAGCACCTGAAAGGTACCAGGCTCCACTTGTGGTGGCTGAATAAATTAGGCCTGCCTGAGTTAAAGTTATGTGACAGAAATACATATAGGAAGCTTGCTGATTATGTGGACATTATTTTCTGTTAGACAAGTATTTATAGCTAAAATAAATAACATGTATTTTTAAGACTCATAGGCTGACTCTTGCTATGCAAAAAGAATGCCGTCTAATGAGTAACTCGTGCAGTATCGATGGCACCAAGCCTAAGGTAGACGTGACCTGTCATCCACTACATCCTTTATTTTTCTCTGCCATCTACAGACCTAACCAAGTTGATTTAGTTTAGATAAATAGCTTTGACCCATAAGTCAGATGAGTTAAATCCCACCTTCAGAGCAGAAAGACCATGAAATTTTTCTCCCAGACAGGTGAAAGTTGAAAGCCTGCCACCCCAGAGAATGAATACAGAAAAACAGAAGGTGAATGGCAGCATTGGTAAGCCTGTAACTCTAACACCTCTTTGTTCTTTGTATCCTGCATTAACGTGTCCCAGCAGGAGGTACAAGGGTACCTATTTTTTTTTATCCAACACCTAAGAATGGGTAGATTTACTAGGATATCTCAGAAATCTGAATTAAAGCTTTTGGCTGTAGGATTATTGACGGTTTTTGTCAATATGCTGAAGTATACTGACTGTGCTGCTAAAGGTTTGGATCTTTTTTATGGTGATGTATATAATTGTCAGGGAACACCTAATGAGAAGTAGAGAGAGAGTTCATGATTCAAGTGTGTCAGCCTTTATATGCTATATTCTCTTGTATAATGAATTTGCAGAGTTTAAGGATTATTTATTTATTGTTCCTTTTTAAAATAGGTATATATTAGGCAAATGGACTGACTCTAGCTGTGTTAAAATAATTTCCCACACTGAAAGGCAAGTAAAATGATACATATCCAATAGTTTTTGTGTTCCTTGCAGCCTTGACTTCTGTACTCCAGTGAATCTGTGCACTGAAGTGTGATTTAAATAGATGCACATTGTCGAGATTTAGGGAATCCTAAGAAAGACTTCCTTAGAAACATTCCTGTGAAAGTCTCATCTCCTTGGTTGCAGTGCTGCTTTTTGCTTGGAATTTATTATGTCTTTAATTTTATACTGTATATTGGTTGTGCTGCAACTTTATCTTATTCAGCTATGGTCTCAATCTGTTCTTGAAAAGCAGTGTACTTATGAAAGTGCATTGAAATGCAGGAGAATTGAGAAGAATCATCTTTGTGTGGCATTATGGGTGTTTAAAGAAAAGTGGAGGAAGAAATGCATTTCTGCTGTGCAGTGGGATCAATATTTTGATGAATTTTATGGCAAGCGAGGCTTTCCATAGAGGAAGCTAATCTTAACCCTCTTTTAGTTTCCAGGGCCTTATAGGAGCTACGTTGTTCTTATTATACTTATGATTGTTCCCTTGTGGAAATACCTCCTAAATATAATGCAACTTCTGCTACTTCTGTATGGATTCCACTGCTCTGCTTCTTCATACATCAGATACCAATCTGGCTTGGCTCTGTTAGGATTTATCCACAGGTACAGCTGGAGAGGTAAGCTATAAACTTGCATGGAAGGGGAAACACTGGTATTGCCAAGTAAGGTAGTAAGCAATACTAGATAGATACCTTTTACCTCTTTCTATCCACGTACACCAAAAATTAATTATGTCACAAGGTCATTGAATATTTAAATAAACATTATCCCCATGGGTATACTCCAAAGGCAGGTAATTTTTTAGGTAAAAGAAGCTTGATTATGGGCTTTGACACCATCAGATGAACAGAGAAGTGATTCTCTTAATTTTAGTGTCCATCTCATCTTCTATGCTTGTTACTTTTAGAAATAATCCTGGCAGAATCTGTTTATTTTACTTATTTGGGGTAAAGTTATTTTTATACTCCTCACAGAGTGTCATTCAGTCTAAAATGACAAATCTTTGCTTGTTTGCCAGATTTTTTCTAAGTTTTGTTCTTCCACCTGTTTGTTTAGTCACTGATAGCTGTTCACTCTCCCAATGTGTCATCTGACCCAGCAGCTCTGGGATTTTCAAACATCAGCAATGTTCAACATTGTTTTCTTTCATCTTTCTAAAGTATTGGTGCTTCAGTGATTTTATTCCTGGTTGAAAATAAAGATGCCTTTTTATACTAGTTAATCTCTGCTACTCTTAGGGCATAGTCTTGCTACTTAATTTGGACATTTCCTCTATTCCGTGTTATAGACTTCTGTCCTTTGCCTTTATTTTTAGTCCTGATACCAAGTGAAAATAGAAAACGAACTCCAAATGTCCCACCTTTGCTCTGTGTATTCAGAATTAGGCCATGAAGATGATACATATTGTACTTGGTATAGTTTTGGATAAAACTTTTCATTAATAATTTGTCTTCTGGGATTATTTTTTCTGTCATGTACATACAAACTGTTAGTTTTCAACAGAATGGTAATTGCTGAATCCTTTAAAGGAATTTTTAAGAAATCACCTTTTTGTGTGACCTTCAACAGACACCTAAATGGGAGTTATTCTTGCCCATATTCAGGCTTTAGCACCGATGGGTTGTTTATGATTTTCATAAAGGCAAAAGAAAAACAAGACAGTGATTCTATCAATTTCAAACAACCCTCTTTCTGATGGGCTGGCTGTCAGTGGATCTGCAGCCAAAGAGGAAGCAAAGGAAAAGGCAAAGGAGCCCTTCCCTGGTGCTGTGCAGAGGAGCGTGAAATGAATGGGGACCTTCATTTCTCTGTTAAGACTCTGACACAGACTAATTTTTTTTGAAAAGTCAAGCAGTCCTGACAGCTGTGAAAACGTTATGTTCCTACTCTCAGCTCCAGAGGAGAGTGCTGTAGAAGAGCTTCCCAACATTCATTAGCCAGTCTGCATCAAAACTGCTGTCTGAGGAATATCCTGGTGTTCAGACATGCTTGCAGCAAGGTATCTGCTGAGGCCTCTGCTGAAGGTTGTACTTATTATCAGCAGGGTTGGGAAGTGTGTGTTTGACAGGTAGTGGACTGCATCTACTGGCTCTCTAAACAGCCTTCAACATGACAGCAACTTCACGTTATTTCTACCTCAGCTTCTTGGAAGAGACTTCATTTCTCACAAAAGAAACCTCACTAAAATAAATACAAAAACATCAATAGAAAATCTTTAACGTGTGTAAGATAAGAGGGTTTTTTTTAGTCTTAAGTTACCATTTAAAAAATGTTTTCCAGCAAATGGTTAATATATAGAATAATTGTTCATGGGCTGAAGCAGTTCCAAAAATCCTGGTGGCAGTTTATGGGCCTGTAGGCTCTCCAGTGCTCTACTTAACACTTCCAGACTTTCCAGGCAACAATCTCAACACCCCTTTTCTCACTCTGGGCAATGGTATAAGACCTTCTTCATTACATACAAGGTAACAAAAGCTTTCTGGGACGCAATCTACGTTTGGAGTGGGGGGCATGACACCCTTGGACAGCCTCTGCCCTAATGTTTATAATAGCAAAACTTGCCCTCTGAGCTCTGTAGGGTGCAGCACAGAAAGTGTTTGGCCCATGAGGGGAGATTGTAGATGGTGTGTCAACCGTAGTAGCAGGTATCCCACAGAGACACACTGCAGCAGAAGGGAGAACTTCCTGTGTTGCAGTAGTGAAATCATGTCAAAGGGCTTTTAGGGAGCTGGCCAGACGAGCTGAACTTGCGTGTGCTTCCAGCAGGCAGAGGAGAGATGCTGAACACATGCTGTCTGCCATCAGCAGCCCTGTGGTTGCCAAGAATTGCAGCTACACCATTACATAAGCCATCACACAGTACACATTGTGCAGCCAGACACTGTTTGTGTGTGAATGACTGCGTAGGTACGTGGGGAAGTTCGCACATGTTAACAGGTTCATGTTTTAAATTTAGTACCAAAAGTTAGGCTGTTTTATAGCCTGAAGTCATCACCTACAGACAGTATTCACTTGTTTTTTGAAATGGAGGGAGAAAAATGGAGGTGCATGCATCATGATAGAGCAAATTTGTCCTGTTAGAGAGGGCTCACGTACAGATTCTGTGCTATCAAGGCCAAAGAGCAGCTGTGGTTCTCCTACAACACTAGTAGGCATGTCACTATTTTAACCCTTACAAAACTGTCTGGCTCACAACAAAATAACAATAGATCTTTCCAAACCATCTCTGAGAATGTGATAATTTAATTCAAACAGCCTAAAGCAATTAGTCTGTATAAAGAGCTTAAAATAGACAAAGATACTATTTTTTTTTTTTAAATAGCTATTTCTAGCTCATTAGCCACAGAAAAATCCTTTACACTCAGCTTTTTGACTGCACTCCGTCAATTCGGCCCAATCAACAAATTTTCTCGATCTAGAAACAAAGCAAAATGAAACAAGGGAAATGAAACAGTGAGTAGGTCAGTCATCTTTGCTCAGCTTTCAAGGCTGCTATAATTGGTTTTTTTCAGTCATGACATGCTTGAAAACAATAAGCCACCTGAAAACTATGGCTGTGATTTTAAAAGCTGTATTATTTTCAAGAAAATTGAAAGTCTTGTTTTTAAAGTACAACTTTATCTGACTCTTTTGTGTGTATGTATTTTCAGGCCTAAATTGCTATTTTGCTCAGAATTGGAAAAAAAATTTTCATTAACTGGTTAAAAAAAGAGACACTTCTCGCAGCATTGATCCATCCTGATATGCAGAGGAATAGCCTGGCACATTCAGCAAAAAAGACTAAAACACCTGCTCCCAGTCATACCACAATATTTATTTCAGAGGCTGTTATCTATTATTTTATATAAAGTGTATGCTCCTACAGGTCTGGGGGTAGTTTAAAATATTTCATTTCATGGCTATTCTGCCATATTATTTTTCAAAAAGGCTAAGAAGTGCTAATGTGGCTGGACTTTCAGAGCAGGCAGGACTGATGGAATATATCGCCCCACATTTTTATGGCAACGGATGGATTTTCCTTGTCACAGGCAAAGTATGTTTTCTGCATGGCTGGGGAAAATGGCAGATTTTTTTAATTAAGATTTGAATCTATTATTTATGAGTGCATTCCCTGATGTCTGAATCCAAGGGCAAGCCCTGCTGTGCTTGATGTGGTCTCTCACAAGAGGGCTTGGAAGGACCTCCACCTTACAAATGGAGAGACCTGAGACTTTCTGCTTGACTGCTCCTGCCTGTCAGGCAACAACAAGCACTCAGGGACTAGAGATTTCCCAGTTCTCAATGTCCTTGCCCCAAACATAGTTTTCTAAGGAGAATCATGTGTTAGCTCACTGCTAGTTCCCAAACTTGCAGATGTTAACAGAAGACCTTGTTGTTAAGGCAGGCCCTTTTGACACCAGGAGCAGCTTAAGGCTGTGAATTTCTGACAAGCTGCTCAACCGGCACATCATGCTTGGGGTGACAGGCACGTTCAACCAAGAAGAGTGAAACCACTCTGGAGTTGTTCCACGTCCTCTAAGATAGACACAGCATCAGCATCAGTACTTCTGACTTGGTGGTGCTGACAGGGCTGGAAAATCTATCGATGCAATCACTCAGAAGGCAGCTCACTCCACATACAGCTTCCCTCCTACACAATGAAGGAGAAGGCAATTACAGCCGTTGGGACTTGAATTTTTTATCCTGAATAATTATGAGAGTCAGGCATACATTAAACACATGGTAAATAATCTACATTTTCTGTGGACAGAAGACTTTTAAATTTCCAACAAATTTACAAATTATTTTGTGTAGTGAGCATTTAAAAATGTTTTTTAAGAAGTGTACCTAATGCCACGGGATTTATATTTAAAAATTCTTTCTGTAATTCATTTAAATTTCTGTTCTCTTATTCCATTTCCTACAGCAGAGCGATAGTTGTATCTCTGTGCATCTGAGATGCATATGCTCTGGTGTTTTACCATCACTGAAGAACTGCTTAAAGATGGTAATATGTGGCTTTTAGGCACGGAATTCAGAAGCACCAATGCATGTGTGAGACCGAATGTGACCACTAAACAAAATGGTGAACTATGGAAATGATGTAGTAATTTTGCACAACCAAAGGAAAGGTCAAAGTGCTTACAAAAGTACTTATTACCCTACCCATGCTACCAAGTATCTTATTTTTTGACATACTTTAAAATACATACATTAAAATGAATGTAAGTATAAAAAGAGAAGGGATTGTTTAACAGAAATAAACTGTGCCAGTTGAATACTAGCTTATTTTTTCATAGGAAGTACAAAGCTTTGTTCCCAACCTTAAAGATTAGACACAATATTGTCCATCAATGGCTATTTTGTGCAGTCCTTGACTAGGCAGCTCAGTCTGCACAATTCTGTTTTGTATACACAAGTGGACTGGCTCTGGATATAAATGCATGTTGGCATTCAAGGTCATTTTGACTCCTCTTCCAATTCAAATTTTGGAAAAGGTATTGCAGTTCTCAGAAAGGAATTTCAGATTTCCATAGGCTTTATATGTTACGAGTGATCGAATACGCTGACCTTTCTGAGGCAATTTCTGGAAAATACACAAGGAGCTTCACCCAGCAGCAGTGGTCTTTATTCAAGGTTTG